AAACACCCGGCGGGCCGAATAAATGTCCTTGGCGGGCCGCATGTGGCCCGCGGGCCGCAGTTTGAGGATGCCTGGTCTAAGCGTTCCTAGAATAGCAATTCAGCAATATACTTGGGGGACTTCTTCAAAACAAGATGCCCTGGCTTCAACCTTAGAGACAGAACCAACACACAGGCTCCAGATGATTCTGCTTGGCAGTCATGGCTGAAAAATCCCTGCGCTAGAAAGGTCTAGTGATCTCGGAAAGCACTCACACCAAGAACGGCCATCATGGACATCCATCTGCACAGCCAACTTGGCCTGGAGGACACTGTCCATGACACAGCGAGAGTGTTCGTCCCCAGTATCAGTCCGCAGCTGGCGAAGCACCATGGACAGGTTCTGCAGGGAGACTTTGTTCTTGCACTGCAAATGGAGAAGAGGCTTCTTCAACTTGACTCATTGTGAGAGCCCCTTCCAGACCTCTTCTGACCTCAGGCCTCTCCCACACAGAATTCTTGCGCCATCTACATCTCCTCAGACCCCCAGCTACAAGGCCCCGTTTGGTTGTTACCTTTTCTTCTCTTCCCATCTGCCCTGCACCTGATCCTGTCACCTTCAGGCTTTCTCAGGCCCCTGTCCTGACCAGCTCCCCGATGCTTCCTCCCCTCTGACTGTTCTCCTGGCTCCAACTCGACTCTACCCTGCCTGGTACTCATCCTAGAGCACTCCACAGACCAGAGGAATCCAATCCTTCACATATGCATTTTCTGAGGGGACAGCAGGCAGCTCACATGCGTGAGGGCTCCTGAGAAGCAGGTGTGGGCAGCTGCAACATCCCCTTTCTTCCAGTACACCTCACCCAGCTGGTTCCAGGCTTCCACCAGCTCAGGCTCCAGCTTCACCGCCTTTGATAGAAGTTCCTCAGCCCTAAGGCTATAGTCAGGAGTCACGTTCAGTGCCTTCCCGGTTAGCATCAGCACCTGGGCCTTGCCCTGGACAGAGCCTAGGAGGAGAAGTCAAGGAGAGAAGATGAAGTCTCCTAGGTTAGAAATGCTGCAAACAAAGAAGCAGAGGCAAAAGAAATGCACGTGGCGTGTGCACGGGAGACAGGACAGGTCAAACTGGAAGAAACAAGAGCTTCCTCCATACAGAGTCAGGGACGAGGTTAGGAAAAGAAGTGAGATGATTAAAAAGGGGGGGGGGCCTTGAATACCAGGTTAAGGGGTTCAGACTTAGGCTAGTCAATAGGACAAGCATTCAGAGGCAGAGAAGTCGGTAAGATTAAATGAATAGGGTGGCGTTGAAAAAGATAACTTGTGTCACGGTAATTGTATATGTTAATTTGGAAATCGGAGAAATCAGAAGCAGGAAAGTCAGCTAAGGACATTCCTACAAGAGTTCCAGCAGAGAGCCGCTCATCGATTCCATGCCGTTTATGATCATCAAACTTCAGAAAAAGTAGAGAAGGAAAGGTCACCAGGCCGCACAAGGGCCCTTAGAAGAAGCATTGTTACACTCCCCCACAGCCATCCCAAAGAGGGTCTCAAAGGGGCAGAGAAGGCAGCTCTCTATCGGATTGAGGTGACAAACAAGGAGAGGGTGCATCCCACGGCACTCATACCCATGATTTCCTCCATCTGCCGCAGGGTCTTCTCCATCTCCTCCCGCACGTCCTGCGGCTTTCTCCCAGCATCCGCAACACTATGCGTGTCGAAATAGCGGTCTCGAAATGAATAGAGCTGATCCACCAGTTCCTAAAAAGTATAAGGACTTTATCTTGAGGCAGAAAAGACACCAGAAAAGGAAATCTGAGGTGGCCTACAAATACTAATTCCCTACCTCATCTAGAAATGGCCCAGGAGGTAGGTGGTCGGGCCTATACAATACCACAAAGCATGCCCAGGCCCAGTCTCAGGCAGTTCCTGCCAATCTATGCACCACAATGATAGTTCTCCTCCCCCAGACCTAGCTGGGCTCCCAAAATGATTAAGCACTTCACTGACTAGGCAGGAGGAGGCAAACACTTTACAAACCTGCAATAAACCAAAAATTACAGCCATCATCCTATCTGGCTCTGGTCCCCAAAGAATAAAACTTTGAACCGCACCTTAAACATGATCCTCCTAAGAAAAATAACTTTATCCCTGATTTTTCCTATGCTGACGTCTGAAAATACACCAGGCTTGTGGGACTACTGTAAACATGAGAGAAAGGTCATGTTTTCCACCAAAACAGATCGATTCAAACTTGGCAGGCTCGTTAGGTTGTAGAATTTAAAAAACATATTGGTGCTTGTGCTTTGGGTTTTTATTTTGTTTTGTTCAATTTGGCATGGCATCTTCTGGTGCTCTCGCATGCTTCACAGGTTAAGTATGCTCTTTCTCACTTAAATGCTTTATCTCAGTCTCTGTGTACCACCAGGCAAAGCTGTCCCTAAAACGGAATAGCAGCAGAAAGATATCATCCAATCCTATGAAGTCTTTTATTTTGATCACTTATTGATTGAATCATTTAATCAATCAGTGTTCTTAACAACTACTCCCACAACACACCCAAGTCCATCCACCTCTCCCCATCCTACTAGACCACCCTGTCTAAATCAGTACCCTTGCTTGCCTCGGCTATTCTGGTAGCTGTCTCACTCGACATCTTGCTTTTATCTCTCCCATTCTTGCTGTGACTTTATAAAAGCATGCATCCTATCACAAACCTTCCAATAGTTGTCCATTATAGTCAGAGTAAATCCAACCCCTCTCCATGGTCTAGAGCAGTGGTTCTCAACCTTCCTCATGCCACGACCCTTTCATACAGCTTCTCATGTTGTAGTGACCCCCAACCATAAAATCATTTTCGTTGCTACTTCATCACTGTAATTTTGCTACTGTTATGAATCGTCATGTAAATATCTGATATGCAGGATGTTATTTTCATTGTTACAAATTGAACATAATTAAAGCATAATGATTGGTCACAAAAACAATATATAACTCTATATTGTGTAATATTTATTTCTGATGACAAATAAATGAAATTTTGTCTTCAAGCACGGTGTAGCATGGGTAACAGTCTTCACGCTGGGTCCTCCCACGTGGGCATATCTACATGTGGGCAGACCTGCCTGGAGACGGATGGAGGAGCCATGTTTTCCGATGGTCTTAGGCTACCCCTGTGAAAGCGTTGTTTGACCCCCTCCCCCCACCCCCAAGTGGTCATGACTCACAGGTTGAGAACCGCTGGTCTAGAAGGTCCTGTATCGTCCAACATCTACTAGCCCCCTGCCAGCAAACTTCACTTCTTACCAAACTCTCCTTCCTACAACACTCCAGCCACCCTGACCTTGACTCAGTTCCTCAAATCCACTAAGTGGCATCCCACTTTGGGGCCTTTCTCAGGCTCTTCCCTCACCCTGGAACAGTCTATGCCTGTGCCCCATCTTTACAGGACTCATTCCTCACCACCTCGTAGCTCACATACCAATTTCTCAGCGAGGCCTTCCCTGTCTAGCCAATCAAAGGTAACTTTTCTCCTTTCCTCCACAATTAAATCACGCTCACTGTTTTCTTCATGGTTATTTTCCTTATTTGGAAGTATATGACGTATTCATTTAGTTGTGTATTGTCTGTCTCTGTCACTAGAATGTCTAAGCTCTACGGTGAGAGGGACCTTGCCCGTTGCATTTACAACTATCTCTGAGCACTAGAACAAGGCTTGGGACATGATGGCTTCTCATTAAATATACAGGTTGAATGAATTTATTAATGAATCATCCTAGTCTCTATACTCTGCTTCACTTAAAAAGCTACCAGAATGGACCAAAACTCTCTATAGCAATGCTTTCAACTTTTATTATGTGATATTTTTCTAGTCCCCACACTACAGAAATTGTTTTTACCAAGTTTAGCAGGACTCGAAATTATGCATTTTTAGCTACTAATCTTATGAAAATGGCCTGTAAAACATTTTGAGAAATATCTTTCTATAAATCCTTTCTATCCTAAAAAGTCTATAACAACTAAATCAAAGTTTGCCACCTTTCCCACGTATAGAAGAATCACTACCCAAACCTTCTCCTCTTCCTCTATCCTACTCTCATATTCAATTCTTGAACCCCAATTATCTACATACACACACACACAGAGGCTGCTTTAGGTCTCTACCACAAAAGAGTCCAAGAGACAGATCCTCAGAAAAATTACAGCCCATTTCCTTTAGTCCTGAAATCAGTATAGTTGTAAACTGTGAGTTTGAAAGAGGGTTTCATTATTTGTTTTGTGGTTTTTGTTTTGTTTTGTTGTCATGTTAAATCAAGCAAGAGAAACATTCTTTGGAAGTGGTGCTTTGTTTTGCTAAAGTGATTATTTTTTAAAGCATCAGTATATATAAGCTGTTAAAAATCAAATTGATTATATGTACAATATAGAAGGTAAAAGACTACTCATAACCATCCCAAACAACTCTTCGGCCTCTATTTTTGTATCTGTTCTACATATTTTCAAACATTTATACGCAGTGATCCCTGTGTGATGCCTGGGTTGAGAACCTCTGACTTCACACTAGAAAATATAATATAATGAAGTTAACCCAACTCGGTTGTAAGGGAAGTAAATCCCACAGTCCAAAAAAGTATTATAAATGTGTTATAGAAACAAGGACATTTTATTAATGTTTAAATTTGTGCGTTAGAA